GTTCTGGAGAAATAGCTAAGAGCTGATAGATACACAGAGACAGAAAGAGATACAAAAAGAGACTGGGCCCCGCATGGGCATTGGACACCTCAAAGTCCACCTTCCCCACCCACCCCCACCCCATGACACACTTCTTCCAACAAGGCCATATCTCCTAATCTTTCTAATCCTTTCAAAGAGTTCCACTCCCCGGTGTTGAAGCACTCAAATATATGGGCCAATGGGGGCCATTCTTCTTCAGACCATCACAAGTGTTTAACCTAAATGCAGGCAGTTTACAAGTTTGTAGAACTGGGGACTGAAAGAAAACTGGTTTTCTGAAACTTATACTCAGTTGGATTCATCTAAACTGGTACCGAAGTAAAATGTTAATTTGGGGCTTTTTTTTTCGTGGTGAAGTGTTTTAAATCTATTACTTTCAACTATTAATTATGGGAAAACAGGCTGATAAAAAATAACTTGTTAGCTATTGACTACTCTTCACAAAGGTAAGACAACACTTACTTGTGTCACCAAACATGGAGAAGTTGAGCTGATGCCCAGATAGAAGCTTCATCCCTACTGACTAGCATTCATGATACTTGAAGGTACTATCCACACTACTAGAGGATAAAGGCAATTATCAAAATCTCCCAGCAACAAACCCTGAAGCCTACAAGAGCAATTTACTGCCTACAAGACATACTGGTGCGATGGTGGCACATTTGTTCTGGGAGTAAACAACTTTGTTAGTTTGTTTGTTTGCTTGCTCACTTGCTTGTTGAGACAGGTTTCAATGTGTAGCCCTGGCTGTCCTGGAACTCACTCTATAGACCAGGTTATCTTTGAACTCAGAGATCCAACTGTCTCTGCCTTCAGAATGTTGTGATTAAAGGCATGTGCCACCCTGCCTGCCTCTATTCTTTTTAAGTTGGATTTATGCTCCACTCCATGAGATGTAACCCATACCTGACACTGCTAACATGGCCAAGAACCTGAGACAAGGTAGGTCACCAGCCTAGGGGAAAATCTACTACTATTATTCTTCTAAAGGAACACAGGAATAAAATGACATACTGCAATACCCATAGATCAGTGCTTGCTCGATCCACATCAGAGAGGCTTCTTCTTGCAGTAGATGACAAGAAACATAGAGACCCACAACTAGATAATGTGCAGAGAGTGGGAGACACTGGGCCACTCACCCCTAAATAAGATGTCTCCATCAAACTCCTCAAGGTTCAGGAATCTGTACATAAGAGGAGGCAGAAAGATTGTAAGAGCTAGGGATGATGGATGACTCCAAGGAATCAGTGTATTCCAGACATAGCAGGACTGTTCATAACATATGAAACTCACAGAAACTGTGGCAGCACACATAAGAGACCTCTATCCGTTGAGCCAGATAGAGTCCCAGTACTCAGAGGGGAAGTGGACACAAGGTCCCACCCTTCACCAAAAAGCTGTTTGCAGTTGATACCCTTTAGTAAAGGGAAAACTAATTTCTCCAATGGAGTCTCACTGGATTTATTAACCATGCTGTATGTCAGGTTCCATGCCAGGAGTATCGACCAATACAAAACAAACTTAACAGTATTTTTATCAAGTTTTTGCTTCATTTTACTTTGTATTGACATTTTTTGTCTTACTGATCTTTCTCTTGTTAGTTTTGACTTTCAATTCTGTGGTTTTGAAAGGTTTTTTTTCTGTTTCTTGGGTTGTTTGTTTGTTTGTTTGTCTCTGGTTTCTTTTTTTGTACCTTTTTTGAAAGAGAGGAAAAAACAAAACATAATGTTGAGTGGGTAGGGAGGTGGGGAGAAACAGGAAGAAATTGGGAAAGGGGAAAAAAACATCAAAATATAGAGTATGAAAAATATCGATAAAATATCTTGTTAGAGGATTTGGAAAATAAATTATTTACTTAATTACTAAAATAGGATTTTGTTAAATTATCAGAAAAATTATAAACTTTTTTTGCTGAACAAATTTCAATTTAAAATGTTAGTATTAGGTTTGGTTCACATGTAGAGATAATGTTACTTGACTTCTGGGCTCTGGACTATGTATATGTTTTTATCAGTGTTGAGGATGGCTAACTTCTCTATTGGAATAATTGCTAATAGATAGCACATTTTGTTGTAAATAATGTTATGAAATTGATTTTGTATTTAATTTTGTATATTTTTACACAGTAAAATCATTAAATATGCTTCTAATGGTTCTATTCACAAAGAGGCAATGTTAGATTCAGAATCTCTGTTCATGGGATCATTGAACTAATTCTTATGTTTATAACAGAAAATGTTCTAGCACAATATAATAAAAATATGTTTGAGACTTGGAAATCACACTATGTCAACAATCAGCTCATTAGGGATAGTCACAGTAACTCCCTGAAAAGTCTATCAGGTTTTAACTGTGGCCTGACAAAAGGATAAGCCTTAATGGAGTAAGGAAAGACAGAATAGGTCCCAGGTCACCCGGCCCTGCAGGCTGTCACTGTGTCTTCTGTCTGCCCATCTAGATGAACCCTTTGCTGCTCTCCACCCCTTTCTGTGTACCAGGAAGCTGACTCATGTACACAACAGAGCTGTCATCACTATGACCTAATACTTTTGAGTTCATATTCTTCATAAGCCATCCTGCTTAGAGTAATCACTCTCCTACCTTTCAGGTCTAGGAATGTAACACTCCCAAACATTGTTAAGTACTGAGACGCTATACTGGGGTAGCCCAGGCTGGCCTAAAAACAGCAATCTTTCTGCCTCAACATACAGAGTGCTAGGATTATAGGCATGTGCCACCATATCCAGCTTTTGGTTTCTTTAGTCCTATGTTTATAAATTGTACTTCTTTGATTCTACTCAAGTCATAAATTTTAAATGGAGGACCTATTTCATTGCCAAGACCTAACTACACTCAGTAACTACTTATTCAATTTGAAACACATTGGCCCCATAAATACATAGAGATCAAATGAAATTTGCAGGATGTCCCATTACATACTCTAGATCAGGGGTGCCCTACTTGTGGCTCACGGGCCAAACATGACCCAGGGTAGGTATGGATATGACTATAAACTTACCGAAAAAATAATTTTTATTTTTGTAAGTCATGGGCTCTTGAACATAGTGCTGTGAATGAATACAGTGGGATACGGTGTTAAGCAAAGTGTATGCATGTTGTTGCCGTTTGTCCTCATGTTTGGCTTTAGTTTCAAAACTGGTGACATGTACCTTCTAGCATGCTGTCTTTCAAGAGCAGACTGTTGAATTGGTAGCATGAGCAGTTACATATGCTTGTGGTCAGCTTCAAAAATAAAACCTAGTAATTGTTTTATCCTACCATTACAAACACTAGATGTTAATTGGTATTTAGAAGACAGGAAGTTATTTTATTTGATTAAGCGTAGTTCTATAGCTTAGATAGGCCTCATGGATCACCACTGAGCTTTACAATTGGCTGGTTTGTGCTGCACAGGAAGTTGGGAAGGCCCAAACTTTGCTTTCTATTTTCCTGTTTTCTTTTTCTTTCTTTCTTCCTTTGTTTTGAGACAGGATCTTGCTATGTACCTTGGGCTGATTTGAACTCACAAGTTAGGTTTGCCTCTGTGTCCTGAGTGCTGGAATTAAAGGCGTACACCACTATGCCTGGTCACCTATTTTCTTAATAAAAGTAACTATAGTGCTGGCGAGATGGCTCGGGGACTAAAGGCACTTAGTGCCAGAGTGAGGACCTCTGTAGGGGAAGAAGAGAAGCATCTCCTGCAAGCTGTCTTCTGCTCTCCACTGGCAAATACATGCACAATCAGGCAAATAAGTAAATGTAATGAAAAAAAGAAAGTATGCTTACTTCTCTAATATTGTTTTTGAATTCAAGCAATGCTTATATGTCTCTAAAACAAAACAGAACCTGCCTAATGAAAAATTTTCCAAAGACTCCTCAACGAAATGTTGAAAAACTTTTTAGGCAAATAGTAAGATTATACTTGATTTGCTCAAGTTTTCAAGGGTTAATTTGAAAAGGCATATGCAAAGCCATTGTGCTGGTTAGTTTTCGTCACCCTGACGGAAGCTAGTGTCACCTGGGAAGAGGGAATGTGAACGTGTCTGTGGGGCATTTCCCTGATTGATGACCAATGTGGCAGGGTCCAACCCAACGTGGGCAGTGCTATCCTTAGGTATTTAGACCTGGGCAATGTAAGAAAGCAGGCTGAGCAGGCAAGTAAGCAGTATTCCCCCATGGTCTCCTGCAGTTCCTGCCTAGGTGTCCCCCATGACAGAATATAGCCCAGAAGCCAAGTAAACCCTTTCCTCCCCCAAGTTGCTTTGGTCAGCATTTTACCACAGTAACACAAAGCCAAGTAGAACATGTTACCAAATTCCATGCCTTTCGAGGATTGTGTCATAAGCACAAAACAACAGGATTAAAGTGTTTTCTTAATAACTTCTTTCTTCTTCTTTCTTTCTATTGAAAAATAATGATCAAGCCACACATGGTACTACATGACAGTAACCAGCTCAATTAGGGGCTGAGGCAGGAAGATGAGTTTGAGGCTAGCATGGTTTATAAGATCCTGATAAAAAAAATAAAAAATTAAAAAAACAAAGACAAATTCTGGCTGTGTAGACCTAGATCTTGTCTGGTATATGTTAGCATGCATTCCTTTCAAGTGAATACAAGTATTTTCAAAGATTCTTTTTTTTTTTTGAAAAGTTAAAAATTCCTCAATTTTTGTGGGGTTCCTGGTACCACTACCACAATTTACAGGACAACATACCTGATGTAATGGAAAGAAAAAGAAAAAGAAAAAGCTACAACAGATAAAAGACCTCAGGAATGTACATCTAATTGACATCACAGTGCATGAATCAACAGCTGCACTTTTTGCAAACTGTGGCTATGACAGTCCTGAACAAGAAGGGTTTCCTGTTTAAGCTGCAGTAACTTTTCTGACTATGGCTCATCGCTCCTTCTGTGGCAGGTTTTACAGTTCCTCTAGTGCATTTAGGACGACTGTCTCAAAGGAACCTGCAGCTTTCCTGACAACTCCTCGCTCTCCCTCCTCCTAAGAACTGGAGCCCTTTTCTGCTTTTTTTTTTAAACCTTCTGCTACCATATCCACCACTTCCACCACCAGATCCATAGCCACCACCATAGGGACTGCCTGAGCTTCTTCCACCAAAACTGCCCCCTTTCATGGGCCCATAATTTGATTGCTGTTGTCCACTATAATTTCCAAAGTCATTATAGTTCCCACCACCACCATAGTTACCTCCACCAAAATTTCCTCCTTCGTTGTAACCATCGTATCCTCCTCCACCACCACCATATCCACCACCTTGGTTTCCATATCCTGGTCCACCACCACCATAGCCTCCTCTACTACTGTAACCAGGACCACCACCAGAGCTGCCACCATCACCTCCAAATCCATTATATCCACCATCACCACCTCCGTAACTACCTCTGCTGCCACCACTTCCACCACCATAGCCTCCTCTTCCACCAAAGTTTCCACCACGATCAAAATTATCTCCACCACCTCCAAAGTTTCCTCCACGACCCATAAAGTTGCCAGATCCACCTCCACGACCTCTCTGTGATCCAGCAGACTGCATCTCTTGTTTAGAAAGGTCCTCTTTCACTTCACAATTATGCCCATTAATAGTGTGGTATTTCTGAACAACAATTTTATCAACTGTGTCATGATCATCAAAAGCGAATCCTCTCTTTTTTCCACTCTGCCTGTCTTCCATAACTTCTATGCTTTCGATTTTGCCATACTTTTCAAAGTAGTCTCTCAGATTATATTCTTCTGTATCTTCTTTAATACCACCAACAAAAACTTTCTTCACGGTTAAATGGGCACCAGGCTTTACAGAATCCTCTCTAGAAACAGCTCTCTTCAGTTCCACCACACGCCCATCAATCTTGTGTGGACGAGCACAGATTACAGCATCCACCTCTTCAACACAAGAGTAGGTCACAAAACCAAAGCCCCCGGAACGTTTTGTTTGGGGATCTCTCATTACCACACAGTCTGTAAGTGTGCCCCATTTCTCAAAATGTTCTCTTAAGCTATCATCTGTGGTTTCAAAGCTCAGACCACCAATAAACAGCTTCCTCAACTGTTCTGGTTTCTTTGGATCATGGCCCTCCCTCCCCCCGAGCGGCGGCTGTAGCTTGAGTTTTCCTGCCTGGCCCACAGTCAGGACAAATCTCTCTCACCTGCCAGTCCCACAGCCTCTCAGACCCGACCAAGTAAACACAGAGACTTATATTGGTTTCAAACTGTATGGCCGTGGCAGGCTTCTTGCTAACTGTTCTTACAGCTTAAATTAATCCATTTCTATTAATCTATACCTTGCCACATGGCTCGTGGCTTACCGGTATCTTCACATTCTGTTTCTCATCGTGGCGGCTGGCAGTGTCTTTCTGACTCAGCCTTCTACTTCCCAGCTTTATTCTCCTCTTTGCCCCGCCTACACTTCCTGCCTAGCCAATGGCCAATCAGTGTTTTATTTATTGACTAATTAGCAACACATTTGCCATACAGAACATCCCACAGCACTTCCCTTTTTTTTTTTCAAAAAGGAAGGTTTTAACCTTAACAAAGTAAAATTACATATAATTTGGGAATTTGGGCGTAGCTTCTCTTACTACTTCCTGCTGGAGGGGGGCACTGTGTCTTATGGGGATACAAAGAAAATTTTAGGATTATGGAATAGTCCATGAGGCTGTATTGTCTGAGCCAGTTGCCTTCAAACCATTCTGGATGTTGGATCATCTGGGCCATGGTGTCGTCGGAGACCTTTCAGGGGGTCTTGGCTGGTCAAACCTGATGTATCTTAATCTGGAACAAATCCATAGCCTTTGGGTTTCTGTGGAAACAAAAGAGACTCTTTTCCAAAGCAACATATCCTTATATCCAAATTTTGAAGTCAAGGTATCTTTAAAGTATACATATTGGTTTAACTCAGCTTCCTTTACAATCAAATATCTCTCTGCAGTTAAGAATCCCAAAGACAACACAATGCAGATTCTCTGTGTAATATCCATTTTTACATGGCTTATATTTTATACCACCTTTACTGTCTCTTTGAAGACTTTATTTTTTAAAACTATGTATTTGTTTCTATAACTCTATATATCTTTTTTGTCTCTTTCAAGCCTACGCATCTTTTACACACATTGTAAACTATTACATCTGAATCTGTCTTATTGTGAATCTATTGCCTTAAACTACAGCAGCTGTGGCTGCTGGCTCCACCCACCTCAGCTTCCCAATGTGGCGTTTTCCACCAGCTCTGGGAGCTATCGTGGGTCTATGCTTTTATCCAAGCAGTGTATAGCCCAGAAACCTCTTTTTTTGTTTTGTACCTGCAAAGGCTAAATCCACCACGCAGCTTAATGTGCCACTTGCAGAGGACTCATTCCCGCCATACTGCAGGTCGAGTGCGTACGCTAGGAACCCACAAGTAGCTCAAACCGGCAGCTGCCGCTCATTTGAGAGAGACAATTAGGAACTGTTTTTAGCTCTGTTTTAGAAGATTTTTTCAGGTTTTAGGTGGAAACTCTTGCCACCACGTTGGACGCCATTTGTAGCTTGAGTTTTCCTGCCTGGCCCACAGTCAGGACAAATCTCTCTCACCCGCCAGTCCCACAGCCTCTCAGACCCGACCAAGTAAACACAGAGACTTATATTGGTTACAAACTGTATGGCCGTGGCAGGCTTCTTGCTAACTGTTCTTACAGCTTAAATTAATCCATTTCTATTAATCTATACCTTGCCACATGGCTCGTGGCTTACCGGCATCTTCACATGCTGTTTCTCATCGTGGCAGCTGGCAGTGTCTCTCTGACTCAGCCTTCTACTTCCCAGCTTTATTCTCCTCTTTGCCCCGCCTACACTTCCTGCCTAGTCAATGGCCAATCAGTGTTTTATTTATTGACTAATTAGCAACACATTTGCCATACAGAACTTCCCACAGCAGGCGGCGGCGACGGCCGGAGTCAGGCTGGGGGCGACCGGGCAGCAGTTTTACCTCCATTTTGAGACCGGACTCGCCTCTTACAACTCGAGTTCAATATCCAAAGATTCTTTGCTTAGGGCTGGAGAGATGGTTTCCGTGGTTAAGGGAGTTTGGTTCCCAGGCTCACAACTGCCTAATAAATCCAGCACTTGGGTTTTTAGTGCCCTCTTCTGGCCTCTGTGGGGAACTGCACTCATGAACACATGTTTCTCTGCAGCACATATACATGATTTTAAATAAATGGAGAAAACAAAATTTTAAAAAAGCTTTTAAAAACACTCTCAATTTTACCTTTTCCTCTTAAGAGAAGGCCTTCTGAACTATGTTGGACTCAAATTCGCTAACTCCAACTAGTCTTGAGCATCCCATTTTCCTGCCTCTACCTCCCTAGTGTTTAGGATTATGACCCACGACAACATACATCTCAGATTTACCTTCTAATGTGAACAATTGATCCCACTTATGAACCATATAACAAGAGAAACAGCAGCAGTCACAACCACAGAAAGGTTCTTTGGAACGAGGCTGTTGGAGCTCATGGCAAATACTTGTGATTCCCTACAAGGAAGAGGCGTACCAGGTGTTCCAGGGCGTCTTCTCCTACCCAGTGAAGTGGAGACCAACACAGTCTATGAGAGACTTTCTTAAAATTCCAAACAAAGGCTCTTCAGACTCAATTACTTTCACTTTACTATGGTGAGCACTAGGTCAGAAAGTTTGGTAGCTTGTAGAATCTTCTGGAACAAAAGCCATTCCACTGGTACTGAAAAATAGAAAACCAAAGCTCTCACTTCAAAAACCTATCTGCCACCCTCTTTTGCTGTTTTTGTTTGTTTGCTTTGTTTTGTTTTGTTTTGAGACTGGTGTCCTAAGAGGGTGGGCTGGCTTTGAACTCTTGCACCTATTTGTCAGCCTCTGCAGGAACTGCATCTGGCCTGGCCATCCTGGGTCTTCACAATGGACATCTTGCCCTCTTGAGAACTTGGGCTATAAAGAGTCACCAGGCTCTGAAAAAACCATGCAGGCCTAGCCCTGACTGGACCTGAGCTAAAAGGAGACTATGGCCTCCTGGGCCACTTCGGCTTTGCTGCTCTCTCATGGGACTCTGAAGAGATGGTTGTCTCCCATCCATGGTACTCCCTCTTCAGAAGCCCTGAGCCCAGCCACCCTGGCCTGGGGCTGTTCTCACCATGTTGAACTCCACAGACCTCCTCCATCACCTCAGCAGCTCCTCAGCAGTTCCTTAACCTCCTCTAGCCTGTGCCAGCTCAATGGTCCAGGCAGGAGGCACAGGGTGGTGGGGAAGGTCAACAGTGTCAACCTGGTTGCTCATTGGGCCAGAGTGCCTCAGGGGCGAGCTTAGGCCACTTATCCCATTTATGATTGAATGTGTTGGTTGAGGCTCTATTTGAGGTATGAGCACTTTAAGATGGAAAGTGGCTTTGGAGGGAATGATCGGGAGTGGCTCAAGGGGCACAAACATTGAGGAGAATCTAGAGAACTGGGGGACTGCACTTCGCTGACCTCTGGGTTTATACAGGACTAGTAGGGCACTCAGGCGCAGGTCTGCACATGAGTGACAGGGGGGAGGTCTTGTTGCCAGCACTGCACACCAGCCATTCCACAGTCCTCTCACCACGGTTTACTAGTCCTATGACATCTCACCTCACCTCACCTCACCTCACCGTGACAGCCTCACCTTACCTAGAGCAGAAAAACAGTTTGGTCATGCCTCGGAGGCCACCAGATCATGCTGCTTTATTGCAAAGAAAAGAAAACCGATAAGCAGTTAAGTCCCTTTCTGAATACCACACACTGGCTTGTATGTGACAGGGAGCCTACCCAAGTCAAGTCCACACAGAGCTAGAGTAAATTTTGCTCCTATTCCCCAGAACTGGCCAAGAACTACTGTGTTTGGTCCCAGTGTGGATTCGGTACCTAGTAATGTTGATTTTGTATCAGGCTATCAGCTTGGCATTCCTGTGACTCAGCATGGACAGGGAGCTTTCAGCTGGCCTGCACCCTCACTATTCCCCTGCCCCAGTGATTTGGTAAACATTAGGAATGTAGAATGACACAGCGGCTCCTGGCTGAGAAATAACAAAAGCACAAGGTACAGTGAGTTTATGATCTTTAAGGTGGGAGCTGTCATGCAGAAGGGAAAGGAGGAAAACAGTTTGTGTCCAGGGAAACAGATTTTATTTTGGTCTTACCATGGAGGCTTCTCAAGTTGTGCCTCCTCTGTCTTCTATCAGGATCTCTTTTGGGACAGAAGATGTTGTTGAACTAGTTGCCAAGATAGAGAAATGATCTGGGGCTTGGATAATGCTGAAAGGTGGAGGCATGTGCATCCTTCATCAAAGTATCCCATCCAGAGCTTTGTTCTTCCAAATTTCCACTCAATATCATCATGACCCTGTGAAAGATACAAGCACAAGGTTTGAGGGGGAGGAAACCGGAAAACACACATATGTCTCATTTTAAGCCTGGAGTTGCTTCTAGAGAGGCCAACTTGGAAGTAGCTATATAAACTCCAGCTACATATACCTTATAAATGCAAATACTTAAATCTGACATTCCAGTCTGAGAAACACATTTTATTGTTATGGTGATGCATGCCTCTAAACCTAGCTACTCAGGAAGCTGAGACAGAAGGATCATGAATTTGAGAATTGCCTGAGAGTAAGATCCTATCTCAAATATAAGAAAAAGTGATAGGGATGTGGCTCAGTGTTGGAGTGCTTAGTGAGTGTGAGACTCTCGGTCCAAGTCCTAGAACAGAAAAATAAAACAAGAGTCGGGGAGAATGAAGGGAGGGGTGGAGGAAAGGAATTGTGGAAAGATCACACACAGGGATCCTCAATGGTCTATGCCTAACAACAGAAAACAACTATGAACAACGCAAATATTCAACAGTAGGATGTTCTTTAAATAAATGCTGTCACAACAACAAAGTTTCATACAATATAACTTTAAAATGTAAATCACAAACACTGTGAAGCTTCTCAAGTTGTGCCTCCCCCATCTCCCACCAGGGTCTCTTGGGACAGAAGGCGTTGTTGACCCAATTGCCATTTATGAATGGAATATATGTGAATGTGTGCATCTTTTGAAGACCTTGAGTGTAAGAAAGCAATGTATAGTGAGTACAAAGATCTCATATA